TTTTCATCTAAAGTTAGTTTATAAAACATTTTATAGCCATCTGCTGGCGGGTCTGGAGGTAGCCGCCACATCGCTATAATTTAATTTACAAAACTGCACTATTCTTTCGCACTTATAAAAATAAGTCCAGTGATCACAACTTTTTTTAAAATACTGAAAATAATTCAAAACAACACTTCACACACACTTATCGCACGTTTCTATTTCTTTTACACTAAGCCCCGCAATGAATTTCCCGAGTACAGCGACTTACGCCACTTTCAAAATAAACATGTTTGTTATACCGTTAATTAGCAAAACTTCTCTCGAACAAGTCTCAATAGTTCTCAACTTATTGATCGCAAATTTTTTAAAAATGAAAAGATACCGTTCAATTGTAATTAGTGTTACCATTATTATTATTAAGGTATCATATATAGATACCTTATCATTTTGTCTATCAATGTACAATTAAGAACAGGGAAAGTACTGCACGCACGTCCGAGCAGAAAAAGCGAATAACTTCGAAATGCGAGGAAGAGAAGCGAATGTTCCTGTATGTGTTAATACTTTAAAGAAAAACGCGCGCAAAGTTAATTTGCCTTTCCTTGTGCGAGATTCAAAGCCATTGTTCCCGCGTAGTATGTAACTCTGGCGGCGAACGTGCTAATTGTTTTACAGCTGTTGACCTAGGAAACCGAGGCTACTAGCCAACTGAAAGCTGTACGCGTTGAGGCTACATCTGCTCGTTTCTTTTAGCAACTTTACGACAGAACTTGATGCTGGGAATCCAGGAACAATGCACGAGGAACAGCGAAGTAAGCTTTCCTTTCTACGGGACCCTCTGTTTGTGGTACATACACGCCCACCGCGCGACGTGCCGGCGATACTACTCATCAATCCTTGGAAAACGTTTGCTAAATTTAATGAAACCGAGCAGGTGAAGAGGAACAAAATATCTTCAAGCTGTAACAGCTGCACGACGAAACAAACGTCGAATTAAATTACCTTCCTATACAAGTTTCCCTACTGTAATTAATAGTTTTACGTCACATTAATTGCATGGTTTTTAGTAGACTGCGGATTTTACGCATCGCGAGCAACTGTTTGACACTCGAATGACAGAGTTATTTTTTAAAAAACGTAACCTAGTATGCTTAGGGTCATGTATAATTTCATTTATTAATTTTTTTCATATTTTGTGGCTTTTTTTTATTAAGGCGGTACAACTGATTAATCGAAAGATTTGAGGGAAGTGAATTATATTTTTTACTGTTGCTTACTGTTATTTTAATACTATCGCTTAATAAATTAATAAAATGTAGTTATCATTTTATATTTTTTAAACTTCTGGTTACTTTAGTTCTTCCATAAACCTTAATGGAACATGGAAAAATTTTGATTAACGTCAGAAAATAGATCGTCCTATCAATGTTTTATACTCTGGGTCCGTGTCTGCCTTAGTTAAATTGTCCAGCATTTGTCTAACAATTGTCTAACATTTCTGACCATCTGAAAGATGAAGATTTAAATTGACGAAATCATTTTGAAATAAGTGGAAACGACTAAATAGAATTACATTTGGAACTCTATCGAGTACATAGAATATTCTAGCTTCGCTTAATAGGTTTATAATAGGATAATATAAAAATAAAATAGGATATTCCAAATATATAAAAATATTCTGAAAAGTGGTACATCAGCAGACACCTTTTGACTAAGGACAGCAGAAGTAGATCCCTGTGTTAATTAACGTAAGAAATTGTTGCCTGAATAATCCGTGAAAGTGAAACCATTAAGATCAATAAATTTTAACAGATTCTTTGTTAACCTTTTAGGTACGGCTGAATTCTGCGCGAGGCTATTTCTCTGGTCGGCAGAGTCTGATGTGTACTGTACAGAGTCTGATACTGTATATACAGGGGGAGTCCCAAAAATGTCTCGCAATCCGAAAGTGGTAGGTTCCTCAGTCCATTTGAAGCAACTTTTTCCTTTAAAAAAATTTTCTCCGAGGCACCGTTAACGAGTTATTAACGAAAAACAGTGACCAATGAGAGGCGAGCTCGGCTGGCGCGTGGCGATCGAGCCAATGAGCGGAACTGGGCTTCGCGCGCTGGTTGGCTGGACCGCCTCGCGTCAGCCGTACTCGATTCTTATTGGTCACTGTTTTTCGTTAATAACTCGATAACGGTGCCTCGGAGGAAATTTTTGTAAAGGAAAAAGTTGCTTCAAATGGCCCGAGGAACCCGCCACTTTTGGATTGCAAGACATTTTTGGGACACCCTGTATATACAGTATCAGACTCTGTACAGTACACATCAGACTCTGCCGTCCAGAGAAATAGCCTCGCACAGAATTCAGCCGTACCTAAAAGGTTAATAAGAGTCACTGTACATCGATAACCAAACGTGGATTTTTGCCGACATTTTCCTGATTTCTCCTCGCTGTGCGACGGCCCGATATCCTCCGTCGATGTTCATTCCTCCAGGGTTTTTCTGCGTGCGTCGGACAGAGACGTCCAACGGCTCCTTTGAACTCGGAATCTACAAGGTGATTATCTCAGGCGGCATGTGTCAAGAGAAGCGCGGCTCGCCGGGAAGATGGTATTCGAATTCGAATCTGGTCCACGACCTCCACGACGCGATGCACAGCGACGCGGGCAGGATGTCCGATTTACATTAGATTTACATTGCTATAACTTGGCCCCGCGACCGAGATTGATGCACACCTCGTCTTCGGCGAAAGCCTCCTTGTCGGGTCTCCCCGGGATACTCCTTCGTTCGATACTACACGCGAGGAAACGTCGATACGTGTCTCACATCTCTCCGTGTTCTCTCTGTTGATCTGCGGTATCGTCCTCAGACAGTTCCCATTGAAAATCTGTCGCGCGCGTTCTTCTTTCCTCATTCATGTATTCCGATTTCGAAACATCGAATCGCAATGCCGCGGCCCGAACTCGGCGGGGATTTGTATTTCTGCCGGTGAACTGGAGAAATTCGTTGTTTGCCGAGATCCTTTTGTTCTTCTCGTTTATTGTGGTTCGATGCGATCGGTCATGAATGCAATTAATCGAGAAATCCATTAGTTCGTTTATTCGCTAATTAATGCAGCAAAGTTAGTTCGGTAAAAACATTTGGAGAATTTAACAACATTGTTCTACTATTTTTGCAGCTAATTAAAATTATTCAGAAAAGAATTTACTCTTTGTTATTGTTAGAGTGCGGATTTTATAGATTTATAACAATAATATGTAGATCGATCCTTAAGGCAGTAAAAACATTTAGGGAATTTAAGAACATTGTTGTATTATTTGCAATTAATTAAAATTACTGAGAGAAAATTTACTTTTTGTCATTGTTAGACTGCGAATTTTATACATTTATAATAAAAATATGTAGTTCGATCGCAACACAATGATGGGTATACACGTCACGAATAAATCACGATATTTTCTGTCACGACGAGTATGCTCGTCGAAAACAGTTAAAAAGTTCGGCAAATAAATAAGTAAACGTTGGCAATAAAATGAAAAAATCCAACAGTCCATTCTTTGCAACTGAATTCCGTGTTATAACAGCCACGCATACACTTTTCTCAACTAAATTGCGACGGCTGTCTGATTAACAACGCAAACAGCTCGACGATCGGAAAATATTTGCGGGAAATTGATCAGGAAACGAATCGATCGACTACGCTCGTTCGCTCAACCTCTGACCCATTATCTTTGCAGGTGTCCTGGGTGCGCAGGCGAGGAGAAGAACTGCATTTGCTCACCTACGGGTTGGACACGTACGCGAGCGACGCGAGGTTCTCTCTGAAGTTCGAACAACCGAACGATTGGAGACTGCTTTTGAACTCGTCGACCGAACGCGATGGCGGTCTCTACGAGTGTCAAGTCAGCGCTCATCCTCCATTAATCAGAACTGTCCATCTGACGGTGTCCGGTGAGTAAATGTATCTTTGTGTACGTACGGCCTAGCTATCCGCCCGTATCTAGTTGTCAGAGCCACGAACTTGCAATTTGCGGCTCCAATTTCTAGTATACATGTACGTATGCCCTTTGATCCGACTACTTCGGCGTTAGCGATAATAAATCAGATCCGCGTGGATGCCGCACAAAATGGAACACGCCGCGATAGATACCTGCTAATCAGCCTTAATGAGAATTTCACGAGGACCGCGTTAATTAACGCCGATGGAAAACTTTCGTTTACGATAGTTTTTCATTCCCTGCCGTGCTACCACTTATGAATTATACTTTTGCCGCTGGTTGAAAATCAGATTCGCGTCTGTGCTGAAGCACACGTTTGTCCCTACGAACACCGATACTATACAGGGTGTTTACAAAAATGTCTTGCAATTCAGAAATGGGAAGTTCCTCGGGTAATTTGAAGTAACTTTTTCCTTAGCGAAAATACAATCCGCGGTTTCGTTTACGAGTTATTAACGGAAACCGGTGACCAATGAGAGGCGAAATCAGCTGGCGCGTGAAGACCGAGCCAATGAGCGGAACTTGGTTTCGTGTGCTCGTTGGCTAGGCCGTCTCGCGGCAGCCGAGCTCGTCTCGAATAATTGGTCAGTGTTTTCCTTTAATAACTCGTAAACAAAGCCGCGAATTGCATTTTCGCTAAGGCAAAAGTTACTTCAAATGACCTCAGGAACTCCCCATTTCCGGATTGCGAGACATTTTTGGGACACTCTGAATATCGGATCGTGGATCCATGTCGTTTCTTTAACAGTGAACCTACTATGCCGGTTGACAAGATCATCAGGTTTCCAAATTGTTGAGACTATTGCTTGAGAAACGATTCTCGATAAATTCCTTCGTTCAAGCTTACGTTATAATGAGAATGTCGAAGTGTCTAAATAAATTTATTCTTGTCATTCTTACTAACTATATGCAACATTCTTTGGCCACTTTTAGTGTTCAGTAGTTTTAGTGTGTTAGCGATAGTTAGCTCTCGTATGAAACACGATTCGTTCGTTCAAAGTACAAAGCAACTCTGCACTTTTTCGGTATCACGAACATGCTCTCAGATTTAGGGGACTATAGTCAAGGAGAGTAAAGATTGCACTATGGCATCGCAAAATAGATATTTCAAGCTTTAATTTAAGAAAAAAAAATCATAATTTTATGATACCTTTTAACGCTGTTACAGCTGTTAAAAGATCGACAATTTTTCGGCCAAGGATTAGCGATGCTCTGGTTTCGCTGTTGTATGCATCTTAAAAATACAAAAATTTTGTTCAGAAATTATTTATAAACCCGATCTTGGCATTCGCATGCCACAAATATGAAGCTGGATCTGTGAACGAAAGAAACAAATCGAAACTATTCGATCATAAAGACTACTCGTGTCGTTGAACTTCACGGTAGATAGGAACCCGTGACGATAAACGTTTGGCCCCGATAAACGACGCGTTTAATATGTTATCAAGTATCCATCGAAGTAATATGCATGAACAGCACTCGACATAGCCTCCCTCGGCAAAAGGTACCCTCGCGTAAGGGGACCCGAGGACATTCCATATTAAAACGACCCCACCGGGCCGCAAACTTAATTATTACAAGCTTCGATGTAATCCCTCCTGTAATATCAGTCCGTGTCATGTGAATTATCTCTGATACGCCGTTAAATTCGGGATACTGGAACGGCCGTGAAGTCGATCTCGGCACACACCTGTGTGTATGTTCCGTTTAACCTTTTAGGCACGACGCGCCACTATAGTGGCTTTCGCGGATGTCATCTTTCAGAACGACACGCCACTATAGTGGCTTTCGCGGATGTCATCTCTCTGGACGACGCGCCACTATAGTGGTTTGCTCTAGTAGCTCACTCGCTCATCGTTCGAACCAAATAATCGTCTTCGTATGCATTGTTTCACGCTTCTTTTGTCTTCGCATCGATTTACAACAGACTACAGGGTGTCCCAAAAATGTCTCGCAATCCGGAAATGGCGGGTTCCTCGGATCATTTGAAGCAACTTCTTCCTTTACAAAAATGTTCTCCGAGGCACCGTTAACGAGTTATTAACGAAAAACAGTGACCAAT